CTCACTTGCCCCGCCCTCCACACACACAGGACTCCCTGCTGGCTTCCCCTGCGATGTCTCCTCTACTTGGAATGTTCTTCTAGTGTCTCCCTCCTGCACCTGCGCCCGGTTCTGATCCTTCTCCGTGATGCCTACCACCACCTGACGTGTGCACTTACCCACCTGTCTCTCCCCTCTGGAACACGGGCTCACTTGTCTCCACTCTGTTCAGAGCTGTCGCCCAGCGCCTAGAACAGTGCCGACACACAGGAGGAACCCAATGAATATTTTGTAAATGAATGAAAGATAGAAGGAAACGCAAAGCGTGCTTATGATAGAAAGTGAGAGCTTAAAAGCATGGCAGGACAGCTAAGGCTTAATGAACTGCCACTCGCATCCACAGAGAAAGACACGAAGGCCAGCGCCTCGGCGAGGGCCTACGGCCCTGCGGCCTACAACCCAGCGGTGTCAGCTCCACCTCGCTGGGCCCGCCGAGGGCAGACGCGGGTGTCGGGACCCAGGCCGGGCCGCCCTCCTCGCAACCCCGCGGACCCCAGGGCCATGCCCCGGTCCCAACACGCGAGACCCCGCGCACCCACGTGGAGGGGCTGCAGTCCCGCGGACACTCGCGGAAGTCCTCCCGGGGCTCGAGGTCGCCGCGGCGCCCTGATAGCGACACGGCCGCAGCACCACGCGCCTACCTGCGTCCACCTGCGCCCACCGCGCGAGCCAGCTGCGCCGCCAACGCCGGCTTCCGGCAGAGCCCAGAGCCCCGGCCACGCGCCAGTCCCGCCCTCGGGCGCGCGGTGCCTTCCATTGGCTGAGGCCTACATCAGTCTTCCCGCGGGCCAATGGCAAGTGGCAGCCTCACGGGGGCGGGGCCCGTCCCGGACGCGGGCTGATGACGCCATCTCTGGGGGCGCTGGTTGCTAGGAGAGCAGCGGTTGCCAAGGCAGCTTCCCTCCCTGGGTACCTGCGGGCGGGCGGGTTCCGGCCCCCAGCGTCAGGGTCGACGCCGTGAGGTGTGGGAGCCGCAGTCCCGACCTGTGCCCGCGGGGCAGCCCGGCGTGCGGGAGCTCGGAGTGGGTCCCCCAGCGAGGGTCCAGGGCGGCCGGGCTCGGAGCACTCGCAGGGGTTCTAAGGGATGGTCTCAAACCTAATGCTGAGCTTTTAAAAATCAGGGTGCAAAGAGGGTGGGTGCTGAGAAAAGGAAAGAACCATTATCTGAGGAATGCAAGTCCTTTCGTTGTCAGGCCCCAGGAGATTAAAATGAGACATCGCGTCCTACTCCCCGTTTTGAGCTCTGTATTCATCTCCTGAAACTGCTTGCTGTTGCCACAAGTAGCCATAAATTGACCTGATAATGCCACACCAGTCACTAAAACCACACCCTGTAGCTTAACAATGTATAGCCAATCACTAATCAATCTGTAAGCCAATGAGAATTCCTGACACAGGACTTTGTATCAACCCGTTCCTTGATCTCCATTTTTGCCTTTTAAAAAGCCGAAGTGGCTCAGGCCCGTAATCCCTGCTCTTTGGGAGGCCGTGGCGGGAGGATCGCTTGAGCCCAGGAATTCCAGGCGGGAGTGAGCGATGATGACACCACTGCACCCAGCCTGGGGGCAGAGTGAGACCCTGTCTCTAAAAAAAACATAATCCACTTGTAACTGCTGCTAATTGGAATGTATTTTCTGGGCAACTTGAATCTATGCTTTTGGGTTGCAATCCTCAAGCACTTATATCACACACACACACACACACACACACACACACACACACTCATGTCAATTTTCCTCAGCTGCTTCCTTTTAGATCGACAATACTAAAAAATAAAAAGGACAGGTACTGTTAAGTACTATTTGTGTGCAATTTTAAAATGTCAACAATATTATACATTGTGTATGAATGTATACAAATGTAGTAGTGAGATAGCCGTAAGAACTATACAGTAAATTCAGATTAGTGGTTACCTAGAGGTAGGAGGTGCAGGCTGGAGGTGGGACTTCCCTCTACTGCCTGTATGAGCAAGACCCCTGTCTCTACTAAAAACAGAAAAAATTAGCTGGGCATGGTGGCGCATGCCTGTAGTCCCAGCTACT